CTTTGTTGTTTGCGTAGATGAACTCCATGAATGGGTACAAATTTTCAAGAAACAGTCGAATGTAATGGTCTGTGTTCAATGACCTTTTTAGGTGGACAAGCTGACCCAACCTATAGAACCTATAGAACAATAAACACTATGATGAAACTACCACCAGATCGCACAGTACCTTTTTTGATAACTATGGTTTATAGCCAAATGGGATCTACACCACTCACAAACAACTGCAAGGATACAATTAGCGATATTACAACGTGTCCGGTGTCGTAGTGTTTATATATATATATATATATATATATATATATATATATATATATATATATATAGTTAAATTCCCAGATGAATTCTGTGGACAAGACAGATTGGTATCAAAATACATTTTTTTTCCAATTGTCATTTGATACCAATTTGTCTTGTCCACAGAATTCATTGTCGACATGGAAAAAAAATAATAATAATCCCTTACTATAAAAGTAATTTACATTAATCAGAAAAAAAGGCTTAGACTGAAACGTCTATCCTTTTAAATTTGGATTTTTAATGTAACTATAACAACAAAAACATTTCGATTTCATTTTTGCCTTGAAAAAGTCGGAAGATGAAACGCGTCGGCAAAATGTAAGATTTTTTTTCCAATTGTCATTTGATACTATATATATATATATATATATATATATATATATATATATATATATATATATATATATATATATTTGTATATGTTTTGTGTGCAGATATATAGAAAATAGGAAAGAAAGATTAATTATTCCAAAACTTTCGCTTGAAGATGAAACAGAGTTTGATACTTTAAATTCAATTTAATTCTAATAATTGAAGTTTTCAGCTCTTTTTTTGAAACATGACAACTCTTATGTAGCGGAGGAATCATATTTTTGAAAAATAATTATATATATATATATATATATATATATATATATATATAGATAGATAGATAGATAGATAGATAGACAGATAGATAGATAACACCAACATTTTATATAGTGGGAAGAAAGACTCCAAGCTCAGGATGCTGATGTAATAAAAGAGAAGCAACCAACATTAAATAGAGAGCAGTATATTGAAGTTTAAGAAAAAACCCCAAAATTCATAACATTTTCAGTTTGACTGTTTATATGACGTCATCAAACGCCGAAATTAAAGAAACAGTTGTATGAACACACAGAAAACAATCCTTGAAAACAAATGTAGCAACATTCGGATGAAAATGAAATAAAATAAAAATAAATATGAACATTGGCAAATTTACTACTAACACAGATAACCTAATTTGAGATATTTGAAAAATTAAACCAAACAGGTTTAAGAGAATTATTCCTGCCGAAATACACATTATATATATATATATATATATATATATATATATATATATATATATACACCTAGTGAGCCAGACAAACCTACCTAGGTTTCACCTAAACGGATCGTCAGGGGTTTTTTTTTGGGCTTCAGACCTGCATCTGTGCGATTTTTGTCGGCAGAAGTTCATGTTTGTAGCTCTTTCTTTTTTTAAAACCTTTTTTTCCCTCGAAATTGATTTGATTAACAAATCAAAAATTCGAGGGTTTTTCGAAACGAGTCTAGTTATTTATATTTATATATATATATATATATATATATATATATAGAGAGAGAGAGAGAGAGAGAGAGATGAGATAGATAGATAGATAGATATATGTATATATTATGAAATGGACAAAGTCCGACAATTATTTTAAAACATTTTTATGTTTATACATTCTTTTTATAGATACAAAAATTAAAGTAAATGCTCTGTTTATAATAAACAGTATTAAACAACATTTAGCGGCCTGAATGTCCGAGAATTTTTCATAGAAAATATATATTTTACCTGGCTCTTTAGGTTTATATATATATATATATATATATGACTTCTCCATATTATTCAACCAAACTCACTTAGTCCGGGCACTAAGGAAAAAAGCTCGTCAGAGTAGTTGCTATGAAAATATTTGTAAAAAGAAGCCATGTCACGTCTTTGAGAAAAGGACTGAAGTTGATATGTCAGATCAGAATCAATTACATTGCAGATCCTTTTTTGAATTTTAAGAACCTTGTGATGAATAGCAGTCGCACCGGACCAGATATGGCAACAGTATTCAATGCATGGACGAATAATAGATTTGTAAATGTACAAGATGGATTCTGGCGAAAAAAAAATCTTCTGGCACAACACAGTTTCCCAACTTAACTTGTACTACATATTGCTGTTGATTCAATGTAGTCGCTTCACTTCAAGTCAGTTGAAAACGTGAGTGTTGCTGATGGTAAGCAGAATAATTTCTCTTTTGTTTTGGAGGCGTTAAAATTTACAAGCCATTTCCTTGACCATTGATTGGAAGTCCTTATAAGGAGCAGCTGCTAGGTTTGCTTTGTCTGTCCTGACATATTTGCTATTGAGACAGGTGTAAATAGTAGTGCCATCTGCATAAATACCTAGTTGGGAAGATCAGGAACAGCGTAGGACCCAGGATATAGCCCTGTGGGACACCCGCATTCGTGTGAAAGGATCTGGAACCGAATCCGTTCTAAACGACCTCTATTTCACGATTTGATTGGAACAATTGGATCAAATCAAACAAATGTCCTGTAATACTATAGCCCTGTCGCTTACGTCGAAGACCAGCTTGTCAAACCTTGTCAAATGTCTTCGCGATATCTAGAGCTACACCTCGAGCTTCACCGTTATTATCAGGAACTTGATATACATATCCAGTGATAGTCGTTAGCACATCAGCTATAGACCTGACAAAATGGAAGCCATATTGCTTGTCAGAGAGTAGGTCGTGAGAAGTAAGTATTGATTAGAGCCTCAAATACTTTGCCGAAAAGCGGTAAGAGTCTAACAGGGCAGTAATTTGAGGGATCAGAGGGTTCTCCAGAGTTTTAAAAAAAGAATCTACAGAGGGGAATTTCCAACAAGCTGGAAAGCAGAAAGCAGTGTGGCAATTGTAGAATTTGGGGAGAACTCGAGCCAGCTCGGGAGCACATTTCTTTAGAAAGACGACTGGGATCCCGTCACCTCCGCTTGCTTTGTAACAGTCTTCTTATGAAATGTTGTCTGAAACCAGTGACGGTATTATGTGCATATTACTCAGTAGAGCCTCCGTTCTAGGGGGAAATCAAACATGGGTACATCAGATGAGTCTAGTTTGGAACTGGATGAGAACTTCTGAGCAAATCACTGAACCTTATCTGTTGTAGATGTCAAGATTTCTAATTGATTAAAGAGAGGAGGGGTAGAGGATTTGCTGTTGTTCAGCACAACTCTTGCAGAGGCGCCAATAATCTTCTAGAACCAAACTTGTGAGAGGCTATACATTGTTTCGTTCTATCAGCAAACAGTAACTTCTTTAGGGACACGCTTGCACTCATTACGATCAGCGACAAAGAGACGTCTGTTGCGATCAGACATGTCGTTCTGGTACAGCCGGAAGAAGTGATTGCTGTAGGTTATAGCGGTCAAGCATGCAGGTGAGAACCAAAGAGATGAACGTGGTTTTACTTGTTATTTCCGTATTGGAATGAAAGCTTCGATGTTGGCTTTTACACAAGAGGAGACCTCGGATGCGCATTTTTGAACGGGATAATTAAAACCTGCATTCCAAGGTAGTCACCAAACGAGTCCCAATCAACACATTTGATAACAGAAAGATATTCTGTTGCTAAGAGGTTCTTGGCTGGTGGGAGAGTAAAAAGAGATATCCACAGACACTACCGTGTGATCCGGATTGCCAAGAAGATAGATCTGCCGAGTAGGACATGAGTCAGGGATAGAAGTAAAGAAGAGATCAAGAAGAGAAGCATGTCAAACAGGATTACTGAGAAAACATGTGGGGAGTCCACTACTTGCGTGAGAGTTTGAGTAATTAAGAAGTTCAGGGTTTGGATGCCAGCGAGGTCAGTGACAGATTGATTAAGCCACTTTTCTTGTTGGGTATTTGGGCAGCTATCCCTATCTAATACATGTTTCATTAACAATGACTGACAAGGCACTTATGTTAATTTAGAGTTGCATGTTTCTTCTATGCAAACAAAATATTTCCTTTTTAGGTTTAGTATATGTAAAAACTGTCCAAAAGATTGTTAATTCCCAGTGCTTTTAGTTTTCTCTAGTAACCCTTTCTAGTATATTTGGTTGTGCTTTTGGAAATGTGTTAGTAGCTGAGAGGTGGTCATACATATGTATGTCTAAATGTGCGCACCTCGAGGTGGTGTAATGGTTATCAAGCTTGACTCTAGAACAATTACGACTGAGTAGGGAGTTCAATCCTCACTGGGTGCTCCTTACTTTCGGCCTTGTGCCACATCCAAGCTACGCTTGGAAAATCACTATGTATGTCTAAATGTGCGTGCGCGCGCGATTGCATGTATCTGTGTGCGTATGTGCATCTGTGTGCTTGTGCGTGAATATGTGTGTGAATTAATATGCGGAGATAAGTCCTAAACACAGCCAATCTTTCAAGTGGAAACCGCTTGCCTTCCTTTAAAATCAGAATTGATAATAATGTCCTTTACCTTGACTTGATTATCAACTGCTGTCAATAGAGGCAAATACGCAATTGTCCCATCGACAAAACAAGCCTCTTCGTTTGCTCTTTTTTTACATGTCAAATGCATGGATACATTTTTACATACGTATCCGAAACCATTTGAAAATGTAACTTCAACTAAATACAGGAGTGTCAGACGAGAAACGGTTTTACGCGCATGCGCACACAAATCTAACGTTCCGAGACAAACAAACAAGCTAAGACGCCGCTATGCACACAAAACATATAAATGCAGCAATAAATAGCGCGCTGAAAAATAAAAATAAAAAGAATAAAATTCCACCCGCTTTCATTAATGAAATGAATTGTAACTGATTGGAATGGTAAACGAATTTCCTGTAATTACACTGCCAACAACGGTCGACGGGTTACACAGACTATCCGCTGTGGTTTGCGGGTTCAGGAGTT